CCGGGATTGTGGGCGTCAGCAGCAACAGTTTTTTCCTGCCTCTTGCTGAAATAATATAATAGTGTTGATAGGAGAGACTTTACACAGTGTGTTTTCCCCAGGCTCGGTGACCCGCATCACCCCACAAGACCTGAAGCTGGAGAGCCAGCAGAGGCACAAGATTTGTGACGCCCTGGCTGTGTCCAGCATCATTTCCAACTGTGCCGGGGTGGACACAAGCCACAGCTCCTACCTCACGCCCGCCGAGATACACGACTTTCTGGTCAACTTTCAGGTGTGTTTAGATTATGTCATGTTAAACTCTAGGTGCGTTTGAGTTATGTTCCGGTTAACTTCTATCTAACCGAGTTTGGGTTATGTCCTGATTAATTCTATCAAGGTAAATTTGGGTTATGTTCTGGTTAAAAGCTATCTAGGTGAATTTGTATTATGCATCGGTTTACGTGTATTTTGGTGAGTTTGAGTGGTGTCGTAATTAACTCTGGGTGAGGTTGGATTATGTTCTAGTTAACCTCAATCTAAGTGAGTTTGGGTTATGTTGTGGTTAAAAGCTATCTAGATGGATTTGGATTATGCCGCGGTTTACGTGTATCTTGGTGAGTTTGGGTTATGTGGCAATTAACTCTAGATGAGTTTGGATTATGTTCTAGTTAACTTCTATCTAGGCGAGTTTGGGTAATGTCTTTATTTACTACTGTCTAGGTGATTTTGGGTTCTGTTTCTCTGTATATGACCTGACTGTGATGCATGTACCGTAAAACTCTTACTAAAACTAAAACTAACTTCTAGCAGAGTTTGTGTTATGTCATTCTCGTCAAGAGATTGAACTCCTGTATGGGGTAAAGGGGGCGGAAATAGTGTCTCACCTTTCTTGCCTTGCTGTGCAACTGTACTACTTTTTCATGTATTAAAGAAGGAATCTTACCTTCTAGTGCGTGTGACCTTTCTCTGATAGGACAGAGTATTGAACTAAAATAAATAAGCCACAGAACATGGTAGTCGAGTAAAGAAACAACTAGTATATTACGTAACATATGTTTATTATCTTCTGTCGTCTGTTAATGTCTCTCTCTCTCTCTCTCTCTCTCTCTCTCTCTCTTTCACTAGCTCTCTCTCTAGCTCTCTTTCTTTCTGTGTATCTATCTCGCCCACTCCATCCTTTCCCCACCTCTTTACATCATTTTCTTTTTCTCTCTTCGTTTTAATTTATCTATCTATCTATCTATCTATCTATCTATCTATCTATCTATCTATCTATCTAT